AGACACTCCCAATATAAACAAAGATGAAGAACAAAACCATGTATTTTCCATTTCTCAAAATATTTACCGAATAAAGATAGATGATATAAAGTTGGATGAGGCAACTACAGATAGTGAAAGAACTGATATCTTAAAATTAGTAAATGAATTTAGGAATTGCTTTGCTCTTAATTTAAATGAATTAGGTTGCACGGACATAATAAAAATGGACATCAAAGAAATTGACGGAAGTAAGACCTGTGTCTTCTTCTTCTCGCCCATACAAAACGAATGCAGCTGAACGTAATGTAATAAAAGAAATTGTTAAGGAATGGAAAGATAATGGGATAGTTTCCGAAACTAAATCGCCTTATGCTAGTCCAGTGTTACTAGTAAAGAAAAAAACAGGGGAATGTAGACTGGTAATTTATTACCATGGACTTAATAATCAGACAATAAAGGATAAGTTCCCTTTGCCTTGAATAGATGATCTTTTAGAATGTTTAGGAGGATGTAAAATTTTCACTACTCTAGATTTTAATCCATGGCTATTTGCAAATACCATTAAGTGAAGAAGCTAAATTAAAGACGGCGTTCATCACTCCAGATGAAACAGGACAGTTCGAAAGGATGACATTTGGGTTGGTAAATGCTCCTGCCGAGTTTCAGCGCCTAATGTCGTATGTCCTAGGCACCTTATTGAACATTAAAGTGTTGTGTTATATGGATGATATACTTATTCCTGCAAAATATCTTGGGAAGAGATGATTTTCAAATTAAAAGAGGTATTAGAATGCCTAAGAAGGGCAAATTTAATCTTGAAATTATCTAAATGTGAATTTGGGAAAGAGAAGTTAGATTTCTTAGGGTTTTATTATAAACGAAGATGGTATTAGACCGGGATCTAGAAAAATAAAAGCCATAACAGAATTTCCAGAACCAAAGAATGTGCACGAAGTGCGAAGATTTTTGGGCCTGACTGGATTTTTCAGACGATTTGTGCCGAAGTATGCGTTAAAGAGCGAACCATTGACCAGATTGACAAAGAAGAATCGAGACTTCGAGTGGAAGCAAGAACAAAAGAAGTCGTTCGAACTATTGAAGAAACAACTGACTGATAAGCCCATATTAGCTCACTATCAACCGCATGCAGATACTGAAGTCCATTGTGATGCAAGTGCAGAAGGTTTGAGTGGAATGCTAATGCAACGTGATGAAGATGGAAAATGGCATCTTGTTTATTGCGTCAGCAAGAAAACAACAGAAGCAGAGAGAAAGTATCATTCCAGCAAATTGGAGTTAATGACCATCGTATGGATGTTGGACAGGTTAAGCCAGTTCTTAATCGGCCTAAGATTTACAATTATTACTTATTGCCAAGCTCTTATATGTATATGAATGCGAAGAAGACTACAAATCCTCAAATAGCTCGTTGGTGTAGTTTGATTCAAGAATACGATTTTGAGATAAAGCATAGGTCAGGAAAAAGACTAACATATTGATGCTTTGAGCAGAGGTCCTCTATCGGAAGCTGATGACACAATGACGAGAATAGCTGAAAATTTTGAAGTTTGCCAGTCCCTAACCGAAGAAGACCAAATACTAATGATACAACGTGCGGACCAAGACCTGAAAAGAATTTTCGAAATTTTCAAGAAGAAAAAAGATGAACGAACTGCTGAGGAGAAACAAATAATTAAAATTGCGTGTTTAAAAAGAAAGACTGTTTTGGAAAACCGTAGTGGATGGAAAGGAGAGACTACTCTATGCGATCCCAAAAAGCATGAGGAAGAGTGTAGTGTAGTGGTAAAATTCCACAATTTATTTGGTCACTTTTCTGTGAATAGAACAGTTAGCAAAATTAAGGAATTATATTGCTTGCCAAACATGAAACGATACGTACGAAGACACATATCAGCATGTATCGAGTGCCTTATGAATAAAGCAACATGTGGCAAGCAACAAGGACAGCTACATCCCAAAAAACCTGGTAAAAGACCGTTTGCTATTGTTAATTGCTTGGGTCCTTTTGTAAAGAGTTCAAGAGGTAATCAAGAACTATTAGTGATAATTGATAACCTGACTAGGTTCGTGAGAATTTTTGCAGTTAAGAATACTAGTGCTAAGAATTTTTTACAGTCTTTGAAGAATTTTGTTAATGATTTTGGACTACCGGAAAGAATAATAAGTGATAGAAGATCTTGTTTTACATCTCACCAATTTAAGCAGTATAGTACAGATAACGGAATACATCATACTTTGAATTCTACCAACACCCCCCAAGCCAATGGTATGGTAGAGCGCGTCAACAGAAACAATTTTAGGAACGATAATGACAAGTTTGATGGATAAACAACACAGAGATTGGGATTCAAAAATAAAAGAGACGGAAAGAAATCTTAACAACATGGTAAACAAAACTACAAATAAGCCTCCATTTGAAATGCTATATGGGTATTTGCCCATGTTTAATGATGACATACTTAGGAAGTTAGCAGATGAAGATTCAGATACATGGAAAGCCCACGAGAAATCCAAGAGCAAGCATGAGGAAGAATCGAGGAACAGCAAGTGAAAATGAAAGAGAGATTCGATGGGAAGAGGTGTCGTACACTAATACTTGAGCAAGGAGAAATCGTTGTGATGAGATGTGCTCCTAAGGCTACATATCAAACTACCAAAACACAGCCAAAATATCAAGGGCCATTTATAATAATCAAAATATTACCTAGCGATACCAACAGAATAGCTCAACTATAAGTGAAGAATCGAGGTCGCTACTTCACTACCACTGCTCACGTGAGCCAGCTGAAGCCATGGAGGCACGATCCCAGCTCTGAAGATGATGATGATGATGGCAACGATCAAGATACTGACCAGTTATCAAGCTTAGTTCCTTGAGGGAATCCAATCAGATCTGTCCGTAAGGACTGATGGAAGTTCTCTTCCCTGTGATTAAGGTGAGATCTTTCCTTTTTTTTTTTGTGTGTGTGTGAGAGAGAGAGTTTATGTATGTTTGTTGATAGAAATCTTTAGAAACTTTTGAACATTAATTGACTTTGAACTTTCGAACTATAGCTGAAAGACTTTAGTGCATATTCTTAAACTTATCACTTTAGGACTGATAATAAATGAGTTATTTCATATATATATTTCACGTATTTAGTAACGATTTACAGAAATTTTTATTTTTATGCTAATGTATAAAAAAATATGTGAATTTATGTATGTGAAAATATTTGAGTAAGTTTATTATCATATCAAATTTTAGCATAATGTGTGTTCTTCTTAGTGTATTAGTAATATGTATGTTAAGTAATGTGTATATGAGTTGAAGTAGAAAAATGTATTAATTATAAAATTGATTTGTACTCAGAACAATCGGGATGATTGTCAGGTAGAATGACCAAGTGTTATCAGCCGATAGATGGCATTGAAAGCTAACCCACTGAAGGCTCAAGTTTTTATATTTGCAGGTAATTTAAACAATGAAATGATTAGTTTAGGAAAAACATTTCTGATGTTAACACATTAAGAAAAGAGCACTGCTCTGCAGACTGTTATGAAACATTTCAATCATTGCAAATTTTTCCAAAAGGGAGCCCTATTCACAGAATTTATATTCTAGAAAGCAAATTCAACCTTCTGAGCTAACTTTGTACATTATGTAAATAATTAAATATTTGTGTGGCCTAACTTGATTTATAACATCATTTGTATAAATTAAAATGAACATTTATTAAAATGAACAAGTCAATTTATAACATCATTTGTATAAATTAAAATGAACATTTCTACTCCAATGAATTTTTTGTGAATACTTGGATTATAACAATAGTAATAAAAGTATATGTGAAAGTAATAAAAATGTATGTAAATATTATTAATGCCTTTCTAGCATTTAAAAAAGCTCTCATCATACCCAAAATAACAAAATTATAAGATTATTTGAACATGGCAAAGTACACAAGTGCTATCTGCTTGACAAAAGGATGCCCTTAAGGACTCAAGTTAAACAAGGAGAAAAGAAATTATGTAGCCAGCTTGTTTGCCTGGATTTCATTAAATGAAGATGCAGACAGATGTTTTCCTTTTTTCTGCTTTCAATTATATTACAAACATAAGAAACACAGGCTGAAATTGTGAAACAGTGGGTGCACCTGTTACAGTACTTGGACTATCTCATTATATTTTACTATATTAGAAAATATACTTAAATAAAGGTTGCCATTTTAGCATTTAAAAACGTATAAACTACTTGTGTGAGAAAGCTCACATCATATGAAAAATGACAAAATTATAAGGTTATTTGAACATGGAAAGCACACAAGCAAAGAGAAAAAAGGGATCAAAATATTATCCATAAGAGATCCTGCTTGAGAAAAGGATCCCTTATGGAGGTCTCAAGTTAAACACTGAGTAAACAAACCATGTAGCCTGCTTGTTTGTCTGGGTTCAAATACAGATCAAACTATGAGTATTTAGCAGTCTTTAACTGCTCGGCCATTGGTAGGACAACAAAATTATAAATTAAAGAATGTAACTACTAATAAATACCAAAGAATATTATTAAAGACCATTAAAAAGGGGGAAAATCAACATTTTTAACCAACCCCTGAAAGAAAGCAAAAAGGTGGCAAATTTCTGAATTCAGAAATTAAATATCTTCGATTTACGTGGATGTCAAACTTTTAATTTTATTTTTTACAATATCTTCAATTGCATCTTCATTCCATAGAACAATCCAGGTCCAGCACCATCATTTTTTACACCAGACCCACAAATAGCACACATATGATATTGTGATTTGCTAGTCTCTATTTTTTTTTCCCTTTAAATTTGGTGTAACTCTTTACATTCAGTACAAAACAGAATAAGGAAGATAATTAATTAGTCCATTTAGTTTCTATATACTCTTAGAAGGACTAAGCCCCCTCCCTGCCCTCACATACAAAAATTTCAATAACACAATCTGTTAACAAAAAAGTTAATTTTTTTTTTAAACAAAAATTTCCATGTACCTTCTTCCCAAAATTCCAAGACAGCTGGGAGAATTGGGTCATTGCCCCGCTTCTGTTCAAACCTTTCATAGCTGCCTTGGCCTCGTGTGCTTTCTCTTCCTAACGATCTATGGGAAAGGGCATCATCTGACTTTTTTGACAGACGATCATCTCTGGAATGTGTAGAAATAGTTTCAACATTACCATCAGCATCAAACGTAGTTTCATAACTGCCATGATGATGAAGGGATAATTGATCATCTCGCCGACTTCTACAAAATAATAATGATCATGATGTATAATCTTTTTAATCTTAACAAATTTTAATATGAATAAAATAAAAATGTTAACAGCAACCTAAGGACAGTATCAAGTTTTTAATAATTATTCTAACTTTTAAGAAGTATACAGCTGAAAGCAAGTGGATTTTCATACCTAATTAACTATGTGTCATGCTGAAGGTGGATATACAATCCATTTGCCTTGGACAGAAAGTGACAGTGATTAGAAAACTTGACATAAATTAAACATTGAGATGGTAGTGAAAAAGAATAGTCAGGAGAAGAAATTTAGACATTTTTCTCAGATGTAAAAATATACCAGTAACACTCTGCCAATTTAGAACCCAAATATTAAAAATAATGGGGAATTAAAAATATTTTGAGCTGTATTTAAAATGCTGGTAACTCAAAAAGACATTGTACTCTAATAATGAAAATTTGTCAAGGCTAGTATATGTAAAAACATCTGCAAATAAAAACGCAACTCACAAATAAAATATTATAATACAGACATTCAATTTAGTAAATACATGGATTTTGTTACCTTTCAATGAATTCCGGATGCTGTCGAGGATCAGGCATCATGTTAAGTTTCTGTAAGGGGAGGGAGAAAAACATACATTTAACAAACTGAATTTATTTAAAAATGTAATGAAAATATCGTATGTCATCAAAAAGGCTACATTTGAACAAATTAAAACTGCATTAACAATCAATTAAAATTTCATATACAGAACACAAGCTTAAAATATCTTTCACAAATACTCATATTGTAAAAATATCTTTTACAGTTTCTTAGCAAAAGGTACATAATTTTTTTTCCTAAATAAATGAATAATTAACTAAATAATCTGGTAAACAGTATCACATACAACACATCTTTACACCAAAAAATTATAGACTAATGTGTTTAGAGTAATTAAATAATAACTTGAATAGGTTATTTTTGAAATTATAAATGATATTCCGAGTTATTTCCCCAAATCATTCCAATTTTCTGAATTTTTCAAATACACATTTTTTTTTTTTTTTTTTTTTTTTTTAAATTTATAAGGCTCTTCCCAACTTTTTCTTCTTAGGAAAAGGAGAGGATATAATCGATAAAATATGTATACTTAGATGATGGTTCAAACTGCTAACCATTCAAAATGACTTTTTAACATAACTTTGAAATTTCCAGAAATAATTTTAAAAAACTATTCATATTTACTTTTACCTAATTCTCTAGAAAACTAAGAGTTAAAAAAGCTACCTAAATAACAGAGCTATACCCATTGTTCGGTTTAATATAGTGCCCTCTAGGATCAGCACCCTCTTGTGAGAGGAGCCAAATTTAGTTTAGTTGGTTGTTGAAGAATGTACACAGCGGACCTATAACGCTCCACCTTGTCTGTACTAATGGAGCACTTAACTTGTAACTTTGTACATTATGTAAATAATTAAATATTTGTGTGGCCTAACTTGATTAGTTTTATTTTAGAACCAGCACCATTATCTCTCGTAACTCATCACATTTTATACAAAACAAAATTTTTGGTCTGCTCGTGGAGTTTGTTTTGTTAACTAAGTTCATATTAGTTGTAGAATGGCCACTATATTTGCTTTAAATCGAAAGACGGGCTCACTAAAAGCCCAGTTAACCAGAATAGAGACTGTCATAACGGATAGTTTCAGCACATGGACTAAAAATAGAAGCCAAGCTTGGAAAAGATGTCTGTTGCATCGGATACACTTCGATCGGAATATTATATTGCTGTGCCTGAAAAGGATGACACTTCTGAATTAGAAGAGGAATTATTAGATCTAGAAGCAAGAATCGACGATCCAGAGGTAAGTTTCAATCAAATGTTAATTGATAATGTTGGTAGTATTAATAAAGTTGATATCGCGAAGAGTAGTTGTAAAATAAAGTTACCTGAAATCCCACTTCCGCAATTTAGCAGAAAGTATGAAGAGTGGAGCATGTTTAAAGTTGAATTTAATAATATTGTTACCTCAAATTCTCAATTAACAGATGCACAAAAGCTACATTATCTGCATGCCACTCTTAAGGGAGAAGCAAAATTGTTGCAAACTCAGGAAGATACTTTTGAATCATTATTTAGGGCTTTAGGAAATCGCTTCGAAAATAAGGGAATTCTTGTTAATGTTCACATTAAAGCTATCTTAGAATTCGAAAAAATTATTCATGAATCATCGAAAGAATTAAGCCGTCTAGTAGATGCTGTGAATTAAGAGCTTTAAATAATTTGGGTTTCGAACGAAACAAATTCTCTGATATTTTAATTACTACTGTCATTTTAGAAAAAATAGACAAGGAAACTCGAAAGCAATTCGAATTATCTGTAAACGCTTCAGATGTTCTTAATTTTGTTATCTTGATGACGTTCTTAGAAAAAAGAAGTCAGACTTTGGGAAATATCCCAAAAAAACACAATAAAATCAAAACAATCGAATGAAATAAAAACAAAAAACCTTCTTGTTTATTCAAATAATTCGGAGAGAAATTGCGTTATATGTAATTCGCCACATTCTCTTTTAAAATGTAGTAACTTCCTTGATATGAATTTTGGTGAAAGATTTATGCTAGTAAAACGAAATAATTTATGTCTGAACTATTTGGGAAAAAAGCACATTGTGTCGCAATGTTGATCAAATCATTTTTGCAATATTTGCTATTCAAAACATCATACATTGCTTCATAAGGATGAGTCATCGAATTGGGATTCTGTTTCAAATAAACATCCGCAGACAATAGAGCAGAAGACAGCTGGGGGGAAGGATATTCCTCCAGCGCCTAATAGGAAGGCCACGAGTCGCCTTCTAATTGTTTATTAGCTTTGAATAAAAGTGTTATCTTGCCATCTGCGATTGTTATGATGAAATCTTTAAAAGGGACATTCATCAAAGGAAAGGCTCTTCTTGACAGCTGCTCACAGATTAACTGCGTGTCTGCTCATTTTGCAAACAATTAGGGATTAAAAAAACAAAAGTTTTCGCTCAGATTTCAGGACTAAATGGAACTAATATTACTTTCTGATTACAGATTTAACACACCTGAGAAAATTGATTTATTACTGGGTTCAGAATGTTTCTTTTACTTATTAAAATCAGGTCAAGTTCACAGCGTGACAAAAGACTTATGTTCCAGAAAACGGTTTTTGGATTCGTAGTTAGTGGTATTGTGCATAATTCACCACTTGAATCACAATACTGTGGTCTGCTTAAGCAAAATGAAAAAATTGAAGAAACACTGCAAAAATTCTGAGAGGTAGAAAATATTAATTTTCCGGATTCAGCACTTAGTACTGAAGAGAAATATTGCAAAAAACATTTTAATGACACTCATTATCAAACCTCTGATGGTCAGTACATCGTATGCATGCCCATGAAGGACTCTGAATTTTTGGGCGAGTCTAGAAATTTAGCCGAGAAAAAGACTTAATCAGGTTTGGCAGCAATTGGGTTGGGACTCGAATTTACAACGATTGTATTCTGAATTCATGCAAGAATACAAAGATTTAAAGCATATGGAACTAGCTGAGAGATCTGAGTCCATAAATGATTCGTACTATATGCCTCACTATGGGGTTTACAGACCAGACAAAAGTAGTACACGTTTAAGAGTGGTTTTTAATGCCTCCACTGCCCCGACATCAGGATTGTCATTAAGCGATATTTTGTTGAAAGGAAGAATTCCACAGCAGGAATTATTTTCTATAATGGTTAGATTTAGAAAACACCGCTACGCCTTCACAGCAGATATACAAAAAACGTATCGACAGATTCTAGTCCATCCTCCACAAAGAGACTTGTTCAGAATTCTATGGAAGGACAGTGTTGATGCACCAGTGCAAACTTATAAGCTCAATACCGTAATGTATGGAACGTCAAATGCTCCCTATCTAGCAACTCGAGCTCTTAAACAGTTAGCTATAGATGAAAGCCAAAACTTACCTCTAGCATCGTCCATCGCTCTTACTGACTTCTATGTCGACAACATACTTTCCGGAGAATCATCACTCGAAAAGGCTAGAATTCTACAATCCCAATTAATAGATTTGTTAAAATTAGGAAAAATGGAATTGCATAAATGGCATTCAAATCATCCAGATTTGCTTGTCTGAAAATAAGGTTACCGCTCATTCAGAATACACTTTTGAAGAGCAACAAGAATCTTCGTCCGTAAAATCTCTTGGTGTCCTACGGAATCCTCAGATTGACTGTTTTTTGACTCAGATTACTCACGCTAACAGTTATAGTAAACTAGATGTTCTGTTACTAATTTCGAAAATGTTCGATCCACTTGGTTTAATTGGGCCAGTGGTCACAAAGGTCAACATATTCATGCAAAAGCCCTGGCTTGCTAAACTCGATTGGAATGACACATTGCCAAGGACTGGATTAATTTCATATGCACGCTCTCTGAACTAAGTAATCTTAAGAATCCAAGATTTGTATTCCTGGAAGATCACATAGTTCTCCATGGATTTACAGATGCATCCTTTTCGGCATACGGAGCTGCAATCTATGTTCAAGCTTTACCAGTTTCGGGATTGCCAACCATTCGACTTTTGTGTATCAAGTCCCGAGTTGCACCTATAAAAACTTTATCAATTCCTAGATTGGAGCTGTCAGGTTGCCTTCTATTATCCAGATTGATGGATAAAGTGATATCTTTGTTGAATGTTTAAGTAGAAAAAGTAATTCTTTGGTCTGATTCTACGATTTCTCTTGCTTGGATTAGAAAATCATCATACTTACTAAAAACTTTCGTGAGCAACAGAGTTGCTTTAATACAAGAGCTTACGGGGTCATACCAATGGAAATATGTGCCATCTGTGAATGTAACCCCAGCTGATGTCATATCGCGTGGACTGGATGCCAAACGTGACATTCTTACGTGTGATATCTGATGGAATGGACCAGACCTTCTCCGTAAGGACATGCATTATCCAGAACAACCTCTTGAACCTAGCACTGACAAGGACCATGTCAAGGAACTAAAATGCTTATCAGACTCTAATTTTGCAATATTAGAAAATAATTCTAGTTTAACCTCTCTCTTAAATCGAACAAATAATTATATGAAATTAATCAAAATTTGTAGTTTTATTTTTAGGTTCTTCAGAATCATTAAGAATAAGGAAAGGGTTTCAGGGCCTATATCCGGAGAGGAACAGAAAGGGGCCGAGTTAAGAATGATTCGGGAAGTGCAGAAAGGTGAGTTTTATTATGATATTGAGTCACTTAAGAGGGATAGCCAGGTACCTCATACGAGCAAGCTTAAATCGTTAAATCCATTCATCGATAATGATGGAATCTTGCGTGTCGGTAGCAGATTTGCGCAATCTCAGGTAAGTTAGGATCGTAAATATCCAATCATTTTGCCAGCTAGACATAGGTTGACTTATTTGATCGTGTACTATTATCATCTAAAATATTTGCATCTTGGACCAGAAGCTCTATTGAGTACTGTTAGACAAAAGTTTTGGCCCATCAGCCGCAGGAATCTTGCTAGAAAAATAGTGCATGAATGCGTACAGTGTTTCAAACACAGACCTGTACCAATAAATCAGATAATGGGTGATCTGCCTGCTGAACCTGTGTCAGTTGAATCAACCTTTAACAAGTGTGGACTTGATTTTTGTGGTTCGTTTCTTATAAAGGCAAACAATCAAAGAAAAGGAGTTTTTCAAAAAATGTATGTTGCAGTATTTGTGTGCCTTGCTACAAAAGCAGTTCACTTAGAAATTGTCTCAGACTTATCTTCGGAAGCATTAATTGCTACCCTAAAGATATTTTTCGCTAGGAGAGGGAAAACTCAACCATATTTAGCAATAATGCTACAAACTTTCGTGGAGCCCGAAATGAATTAAACAAGCTGTTTAAATTAGCCAAAGTACCAGAACAAGGATTATTCGACTATTTGTTGTCAGAGGAGATTGAGTGGAAGTTTATACTTCATAGAGCACCGCATTTTGGTGGGCGTTAAATCGTTCAAAACGTATTTTAAGAAAACAGTTGGAAATTCAAAATTAACTATTGAAGAATTTTTAACTTTAGTAACACAAATAGAGGGAATATTAAACTCCAGACCAATTTTTTCCTCTCTCTCAGATGCAAAGGATTTTAATGCGTTAACGCCTGGACATTTTTTAATTGGGTGTTCTATAACAGCCCTTGTAGAACCAGAAAATATAAGCAAGTCTGACAACAGATTGTCCAGCTGGAAAGAGTCACCAAAATGACTCAAAATATTTGGAAAAGGTGGCAACAGGGTTATTTATCGCAACTTCAAGAACGAAATGGCAGTTTAAAAAAGATAACTTTACATCTGGAACTATGGTGCTCGTGAAGGAAGACAATTTGCCTATTTGTCACTGGGTTTTAGGTCGAGTTGAAGAAGTTATACCCGGATTGGACAAAAGAGAGTAGTTCGTGTACGCACGGCAAAAGATCTCTTCAAAAGGCCTGTCACAAAATTAAGTATTTTGCCCATATCAGACAACTATCAGATATAAAATTTCCATGTTATGGATAGGCATTATTCATTTAGTCCAAGGGTAATATTTTTATGTGTGACAATTTTTATTTCTTATTACATATACTGAATTAAATTGTAATTGAAATAATTTGTGTTAAATTGAATTTCATTGTGTATTTCATATGTATGTCTAAATTTGAATTTGATTGCAAATTTTTATGGCATTATTGAAACTTGTTTCAATGGGGGCCGGAATGTTCGGTTTAATATAGTCAGCGCCCTCTTGTGAGAGGAGCCAAATTTAGCTGGTCGTTGAAGAATGTATGCAGCGGACCTATGGTGCGTTTGCTCGCTCCATTTTGTATGTGCTAATGGAGCACTTAACTTGCAACTTTGTACATTATGTAAATAATTAAATATTTGTGTGACCTAACTTGATTAGTTTTATTTTGGAACAAGCTACATTATCTCTCGTAACTCATCGCATCTTATACCAAACACCTATCTAAAGGAAAAATACCTTGTTAATGTCCGGAATCCGAAATTACCTGTTTGTTTTCTCATAGCAAGCAAAAAACGTATCATGTCTTCCAATACATTAAATAAATTTAGAAGATTATTCCTGTTTGCAAACTTGAAATGGAAGTAACTTTACATTTTATTTTAATCTTCTTTAATATGTATTAAAACAATATACTATGTATTAAAACAATATATACTGAGCTTATGCTTTTCAGTTTGTAATCCCCCCCCTCAGAAGTCAATATAGACGTCACTGATGATAAAAACAAAGATTAAAATGGCAAGCTCCAGCTAATTATACCATGTATCCAAATGAATATGAAAACTATTGTTTCAGAAACGTAGCAATTTTTTTAACCCAGCATTAGCTCAGATGGCTATTAGTCTCGAAATGACATTTTGCATCACTTTGCTATAAACTGCACATCCGTTTTTAAATTGTTGCCACCAAATATTATCATCCTTTATTTTATTTAAAGAAATTAAATAATGAAGAATCTGCATAAATGTATGTATGTTTCTCGAATTGTGAAAAAAACACGGTATCTAGAGACCTCAAATTTTGAATGATGTAACATTCCACCTGAACATGGGCCCCTGGATGCCCGAATTTCAAATTTTGTTTTATTATCTATTTCACATTTTGTAAAACTTTAACAAATTTTAATGATTTCAAAGCGAGCAATGGCAACACTGTATGGGAAAGTACACTTTTATCTCCAATGTGCGAAACTGTCTATCGAAAATTCTAAAGATATGCTAATTTTAAATACTTTATGATATCGCTGTTGAACTGAATTTTACATGGTTTAAGTGCAAAGAACATGATATTTAATAAATAAAAGTAATATACAAAATGTTTAAAAAAAGGCCCTTTTGGGCATAATATATATTTTTTAAGGGTTACGTAGAAGTGTCAAGTTGAAATGAAGAAACATCTCCATGTGCAATTGTTTGAAACCAACAAAAGTTTTAGTGCTGCAATGTTGAAAGGATCATGCTATTGTTGACAGGATGGTTTGAAAATAAATTTACAGGTTCCATGACACAATGTTTGATCTCGACGATCATCCCATACTCTGATCCCTCATCCCACTTTGGTGAGAAACTTCTTAACTACCTGATCCACACCAAACCATGAATTTATTATCAATTGTGATCAATTTTACCATTCTCATGCAACACTTCAAGAGAAAAGTCCAAACAAACGACATGGCAATATCCACATGGATAACACTAGACCACATACGGTGAAGATGACAATTCAGCAGTTAAATGAAATGTTCTTCCAAGTCCAACATATTCCCCAGATATGGCTCCTATCGATTACCACCTTTCCATATCACTATTAAATGCACTCCATGACAGATCTTTTGAAATCAAATGAAAACCACATAATTTTCTGGATGCATTTTATGCAACCAAACTAGAGAGTCCTTTCAGAAGTTAGCTTTTTCTTTAAAAAAAAATTAGAAATAGGAATTAGATTATGCACAATGCGCGGAAGAATACATCAGTGATGCAGTTTGATGCTTAGTTTATTAGTTTAATGCTGAAAGCAATTAATGTAACTGGTCCAAAAAGGGCACAAAGTTAGGCATGAGTTCAATTATCAGTATTACTTTAAAATATTATCATCCTTTATTGTATTTAAAGAAATTAAATAATGAAGAATCTGCATAAATGTATGTATGTTTCTCGAATTGTGAAAAAAAGACGGTATCTAGAGACCTCAAATTTTGAATGATGTAACATTCCACCTGAACATGGGCACCTGGATGCCCGAATTTCAAATTTAGTTTTATTATCTATCTATTTCACATTTTGTAAAACTTTAACAAATTTTAATGATTTCAAAGCAAGCAATGGCAACACTGTATGGGAAAGTACACTTTTATCTCCAATGTGCGAAACTGTCTATCGAAAATTCTAAAGATATGCTGATTTTAAATACTTTATGATATCGCTGTTGAACTGAATTTTACATGGTTTAAGTGCAAAGAACATGATATTTAATAAATAAAAGTAATATACAAAATGTTTAAAAAAAAGCCCTTTTGGTCATAATATATATTTTTTAAGGGTTACGTAGAAGTGCCAAGTTGAAATGAAGAAACATCTCCATGTGCAATTGTTTGAAACCAACAAAAGTTTTAGTGCTGCAATGTTGAAAGGATCATGCTATTGTTGACAGGATGGTTTGAAAATAAATTTACAGGTTCCATGACACAATGTTTGATCTCGACGATCATCCCATACTCTGATCCCTCATCCCACTTTGGTGAGAAACTTCTTAACTACCTGATCCACACCAAACCATGAATTTATTATCAATTGTGATCAATTTTACCATTCTCATGCAACACTTCAAGAGAAAAGTCCAAACAAACGACATGGCAATATCCACATGGATAACACTAGACCCACATACGGTGAAGATGACAATTCAGCAGTTAAATGAAATGTTCTTCCAAGTCCAACATATTCCCCAGATATGGCTCCTATCGATTACCACCTTTCCATATCACTATTAAATGCACTCCATGACAGATCTTTTGAAATCAAATGAAAACCACATAATTTTCTGGATGCATTTTATGCAACCAAACTAGAGAGTCCTTTCAGAAGTTAGCTTTTTCTTTAAAAAAAATTTAGAAATAGGAATTAGATTATGCACAATGCGCAGAAGAATACATCAATGATGCAGTTTGATGCTTAGTTTATTAGTTTAATGCTGAAAGCAATTAATGTAACTGGTCCAAAAAGGGCACAAAGTTAGGCATGAGTTCAATTATCAGTATTACTTTAAGATCTTAAAGCTAAGAATATAAGACTGTACTAATAGACCTTCCACATTTCTTTCAATATCTTTTATTATTTAATTTTTCTATTAAAAGAAATAGAGCATTTATGTCAAATAAAATTTTAATAGATTCATATTTTATCACCAAATTTCATTTAGAAGTGCAAATTTGGATAGTCTGATTGCACATTCATTAATATTAATAAAGATATAATACCTGATCATGTAAAGGATCAACAAATCTAAATGTGTGAAATTTTCCAAAACAGACAACCATTCCATTCTGTAACAAAGTGGTTTCATAAATCCTCATATTGTTAACATATGTTTCAGCATCTCTGCTGCTAGGTGTAACAGTTACAATTCGATCTGTATGTGCTATAACACAATGGCGAGGCTGTACATTTGGACCATAAAGCTGAAAACACAAAAGACATCACACTAGTTATACAAATCCATATTCTAAGAAAAACTAAAATAATTCTGAACTAAAATTAACTCTGTGATAAGAAAATCTATAACAATAACATTAAATCAGTTAAAATAAAATAGTTCTTCATTGAAACGCTTTACATTGAGTTACGTTATTATTCAGTTTTACATTTGCACACTAATATAAATTATAAGACTTTTAACAGGTAATGATGTAAAAAATCTTAAAATCCTCATTACATTTTCGTTAAGAGAAACACAAGTTATCTAAGGAAAAAACTGCGATCTTAGAAAATGCATACCTGCAAATACTGTCCACCAGTGGAACTGCTTCTTTCACTGCCAACTTCAGTCATGTTAAGATATAATCTATGTTTCTTAGGTGGCCCATGAGTTTCACTTCCATCTAAAATAATTATTAAATAAAAAAAAACATAAAGATATATATTTACAATAACCACATGTTGCTTTTACAGCAATATTAATGCCTTTACTAACAAGCATCAGAGGAGGGGGGAGAGAAAGATTTAAATTGATGTGAAAGGATTACAGGAGATCTAATTAATATTATCTGATATGCATACCTCTTACCTAGTTAGTAATAATACAGGCAGATTTTTTACTCCCTTTACAAAGGCTAACTAATAAATTTTGCAAAAAGGCACAATTTAATAAAAATATAATTTTTCAAATTTTATATGCGCTCAACATGTGTTCCACTGGTGACACAATAGACATCACTTCAGAATTCAAATTCCTGTTAAACACATCACAACTGACATAAATGACTATATGCATGACCCTTCTTCACATTTGTACTACATTATATGGCAGAGTAATACAGAAGAATTCTGTATCATCAAGAAAAATTCTTATTTTAATATAACGTGTAAATATAATTTTAGTGTGTCTAATTGTCAACCTACAGTATTTCATTTTGTTTTTAACTTGATTTAAGCATTTCCATTTCATTCTCCTCTGAGCATTATTGCAATTTTTATTGTTTTCCAGATTTACAAATGACTTGTTTACAGTTTTCTACATTTAGTCATTCTGAAATATAATTCTTTTATACTTTGAAATATTAATCACCAGTTAATGTTGCCTTCATTTTTAGTGATACCTGTAAAATTTTATTTTTTAATCACAATTGACATTAGAAGGGCCATAAAATAATGTATCACTGAGAAGAAAAAACAAAAGATCAAACACTAATAAAATCACGAATATTACCGATTTTTGATCTACTTACTTCTAGATATTACTGTACCTTCCCCATTATTTTTTAAGCTAATTGCTGACACAGTAATTACAGATTTCAGATGATACAGGCCCGAGAGAGTAGTCAACAAAGATTCTATTACATTACACTTATCTGATTGATTCATATATGCAGTTTTTGCAAAAAAGCAATTCTTTACCTTATTATAATCAGCAATTTGTTAATTTCAGTAAACTTTTCTGCAACATTAAGATGATTGTTTATCACATAATTAAGAGCAAACAATTAGTTTTCCTTTAAAGCATAAATGATCAAACATGATATATTAACTGATCATATGCAAGCATATACAGAGAAAGATAACTCAAACTGAGTAATACTTATTTAATAAATACTACTAATGCCATGCAAAATGCAACAAAATGAATTGAAAAAGAGATAAAAGAAAATTATACTGCAGAAAGAAATTATAAGCTAAGTATACCTGGATTTAACTCTAGTAGATAGGGCAATTTCTCCGAAGAATCTTCAGGGCGGTAATTATGATCTATTTCCCCTTTTGTCGGCTTTGGCTTTTTTTTCCGTTTACGAGGCTGGTAGTCAGCAGGCCGCCTTCTTACATGAAATGTTAAAGTACCTATGACAAATTTTAAATTATGAGCATACTAAAAAACATGTATAAAAAAGAGAAGGATTCTATAGTAATTTAGGAAAAAGTCAACACCAAACAAATTTTCATTTATTTAAAAGTTCTATAGAAAAATGAATAAACAAAGTTTTTTAAATACTGGAAAATAATGTACCATAGTATGGTACAACAAACCCTTGATTAACCAGCCTTTATGACATGGGATCTCTTGAAATGAAAGGCTGTTACTCATAAAAACCTCTAAAAATAGCAGTTACAGGTTATAAACCACATTTAAAAAACATGTATATATATATAAACACACATACATTCTATGACATCAAAAGCGATGCACCAAGGAGTGATCCAAATGGGACGAAAATCAGCAGATGTGTTGCAAACACATTGATAACGAAACACTAAAAGTATCTTAGATTTATCCAAATGAACAAAATCAGCAAATATGCTGCACATGCATTGAAAACAAAACACTAAACTATCATAGGAACAATGTTTCATTTAGAAAATAACACCTAAAAGAAGGGGAAGGAATAACGCATTGGTCCATCTCTGGCCCTGATGCAAGCTGTTACCCAGTGCATTGACTCGTAGAGTTGGCGGATGTCTTTCTGTAAGAATGTTGCCATAGACTTTCCATATGTGCATGATCCTGTCAAGATTATTCAAGAACATTCAGAGATGTCTGTTCATCACTGTCCAAATGTGCTCCACTGGGCTGAGATCTGGCAATAGTGCTGGCTAGGGAAGTGTTGGGGAAGCATTAAGACAAGCAGCAGAAAGGCATTCCTTCAATAGGATCAAGGCATTATACTATTGAAATGGATGCCAGGGTTCAATGAAAAGATCAGCAATATTATGGGGCATAGAATCTAATTGATGTAGAGCTGTGTGGGAAGAGAGACCTAAATGATAACCAAAGGGTTTCAGCTATCAAATGAAATGGCACTCCACACCATAACTCCCAGCTGTCAGGTTATGTGGCGGATGAGACTCAGGTAAGCATACCACTGCTATCCTTGAAATCTCTAAACATGTCTTTGTGGCTCAGTGTTAAGTAGGATTCATCATTAAAAACAAGTCTACTCTAGTCCATGACATCATAGATCAAAGGTGTCTGGCACCACAGCAAACGTGCCTGGCAGTATGCAACAGTGACAAGAAGTTGGTGAAATGGCCGTGACTTAAGCCTTCCATTTGCTGAGTCACTCATCACCTCCCATTTGCAGTCACTTTTGTCTTAATTACACATTGTATCATTAATAAAGACGCATCAGGGGCTGTAAAATGCTCATCAATTCCTGCCAATATTCCTGAACGCCTCTGACCCAAGTGTCTAGTGATCCTGCGATTTGGCCACCCTGATTCCTTTAGCCCAATGTACATTTTCTCTTGGATGGTGTCATTTGCTCATACTATTCGCAAACTGCAAAGCACTGGTATTGTCCATATACATCGACGAAACCACATACACATAGGAGTTACACATTAGCATTAGAATCCCCCCCCATTTCATACACCATCCGGATGGTCCAATGCAATATACTGAATTGAAAATAATCAGTCACTGACTGCCAAAAGTTATTCATCTGAATATTTTAATTTAAGATATGGGCACATGGAATTTCATCCCATTCGGATAATTCTTAGTGCATCGTGTTTGATGTTATAGAGTGTGTGTGTATATATAATAGTAAATATGTATTTATTTAAACATTTATTTGGTTAAAAGGATTAGTAACTTTTTTCACAGGTTTTTATAATCAAGGAATTTTTTTTAGCATGCCACCTTGTAAATTATATTTTTGATAATGTAAAATTTCAACTTACATCAAGAATTATTTACTAGAGAAAAAGTTACATTTACCTCTATTTCGATTATGTTGATGCTGGATCATCAAAGGACAGTCATCGTCATCTAATATGTATTCACGTATACCACCAGTACTCTGAAAATCGGAACCATCTGCTTGATTGTGATGAGGAATAATCACCTGTACCAAGCAGTACTGAACTGGATCTTCCTTGCTATAACCATACTTATCTAGTATCTCTTTTACAACATAGGAAGCAGTATCTTTTGTAGATAACAAAAGTGTTTTATATGGTACATCTTTATTAAGTGATTCTCCAAAAATTCTGAGAGTTCCACCTAAAAATTAAAATAAATATATAAAAACTTGTACCATAAATGATGGGTCTAATCTGGTACCATGATAACAGTTCCGTTTTCAGACACCTTGTACTTAATGCTAATGATATTTTTAAAGCAAGTCTCTTTCAAATGCCAAAAATCGTTTGACAAAATATCATTGAACACATCAAAGCAAACTGTCTGCAATGACGATATTTGTGGTGGTGGTAAACTTTCTATAAAGCCAGATATATATTACTGGTTTAGCAACAGTTATAAAAATGTTAACCTATAAAATTTTGTAGCTTGCTTGAATATTGAATCTGGTAAACTGTCGTCAAAGTTATCTGCATTTCATTGCTAATATCTGAAAGGCAGTATGAATTTCAGGCATTGGTTGATTTTCGGACAGTGGATGTTTGATCCTCTATTATATTTACATTTTGGTGCTTGTACACAGTAAAACAACTCATAAATACTCACTGCTTTGTAAAATTTCTTTTAGTTACCATGTGTGCTATATTTTTTTAATGTTTACTGATGTAACATTAAAAAATCTTTTAGTGAGTATTATTATAACAGGGTTGCTACTCAAACAGAAGAATGAAATTTCCAAACTTTTCCAGGTGTGTTTCAAGAAAATTACAGACTATCCACATAATGGGCATTGGCTGCACTGAGGGCAAATTAATCAAAGTAGTCAAAAGTCGTTAATTCGGACACCCATAATCCGGAATGATCTATAATCCAGACCTCAAAGCTACAAACTTTCTGCGCATGTGTCGCATTGACAATGCGCGTAAGACTTTTACGGCTGCGAATATGCGTGTGCGTTTAATGTATAACGGACGGTATAAGCTAAGCTAAAATTATCTAATTCAGTTAATGTTGCAGATTGCGTTGTTCCTGAATCTTCGAATTGGACCCGGCTTATTATTTTTTGCAGGCTGTTAGAGCAATTTTATAAAAGTAAGCTTGAGCTTTCGATTATCTCAAATAGAATTTCCGATATCTATTTACTAATATGTAAAGGATCTACAAAGCGAAAGTATGTTTTTGAAGTCCATTAAACAAAAAGTGGAATTGCTGCAAAAAATGGATAAAGGCATATCCTTCGTTTCTCAAACCATTCCGAAATCTGTTTATCAATTTCACGCTGCTCTGCGGCCCGGGGTGGAAAACAGCGAAACGCCGCAGCGCGCTATGAATTGGAAGTTAATCTGTCAGCACTATCCTTATCTTCAGGGCAAATGTTTTTATTTTATTCAGCTTATAATTCCTTACTAAATGTAGTATTTCATCTCGATGTATTCCGTCTTTGATATGATTTAAATCAAATTCCTCGTCATTATAAACATCACGAATACACATCAAATAGTTTTCTGGTTGCAATTTTCTAATTTCGACTAATGTATGCTTTACGCATGCACGCGTTGAAAAAATGTTTAATAAAGTAAACAAATAAAGATTAAGCTTTTTTTTTTTTGTAAATTTTGATACCCTTTAGATCATAATTGCTCTTTATTTTATAAATTACAGTTTCATATTTTAAATTTTATAATTTCTGCATGCCATCTTGCCAGATTTAAACTGATGATCTATAACCCGGAATCGCCGAAGTCCCGACGAGTCCGGATTAAAGACTTTTGACTGTATTCGCTTGGCACCTAAAAATAAATACAATTTAATTTTCCACTCATATTAATATTAAAATAATTTAAATCAAAATTTTGAACATTTTCCAAATTTTCATTGTTTAACAGTTTCCCCTTTACAGATATTGCAAGCAAAGTAATTTAAGCAAAAAATATCTGATGTGTACACCACATGACTTACTTGTACGGAATATTAAATTATACGCATTTGTTTCTTGCATTTCATTTAAACTTATTGGATTGAATTAAATCTACTTCGCCGACAGCGCATAAACCACAATAGAATAAAGGCATTCTTTAAAATTCACTTTATTTGTTTAACATAGCGACACTCTGGCACTAGGTTCACTTAACAGTATATATTTTCATTCATATTATAACTCAGAATGCACAAAATGTATATCATTTAAAGAATTATCTAATCGTTGACACATGTTCTTTTCAAATACTATAATAAAGCTACAACGATGTAAAAATGAAATTAAGCAAACAAAACAAACAAACAAAACAAAAAAAAAAAAAAAAAAAAACAGTTTTTCACAGACGACTGAGTATTTCTCATTCAATTAATTCAAATTTTCACTTCGCGACAAGACAAAAAAAAAAAAAAAAAAAAAAAATACACATAAAAGCTCAAAATATCTGTATTAAAAATTACTAATTATTAAAAATTAAATTACTAATTATTAAAAATTTACTAATTATTAAAAATTAAGTAAATCTTAAACACTTATTTCCTCAAAAAAATTCCAGAAAGGATTAAGCATCATTTAATTTGCAATAATAAATGAAGGCGTTATTTTTGTTTTGTGAACCTTAGTCTCTCTAGATTGGCAACAAATCTACAATTCTGCTGTTTCAAATGTAAACAAATATATCCACCATGTTATTTAAAACTTAACCCCACTTAAACAGCTTTTAAATTGTTGATAATTGTACAAATATTGCATACAGATTTACTAAAGGCATAAAACCCTTAACCGGAAGATAAGAACAACATAATTCAATGATTTTTAAAGCAAAAAATGTACAATTTACAAACATATAAGAGTAAAGAAACTGAGATCACTGTGCCAAGTAACAAAGTGGATATATATATATAAATATAGTATTTATATACGTTTGGTGCGGCCGATTGCAACCAGAATACGAGGTGCACATCTACATGTTATAGCAGTCCTATATACAAAATTTCAATGTTCTGAGGTTTTGAGTTATGCGAGATATGTACGTTCGTACAGACGCCACGAAAAATTCTCTTCAGAATTCATTTCAAAGCAGTTTAATAATTTTTTTAGAGGCGAGTCTTTTATTCTGTCCTTACGTACAGATATCACGCAAAAACATCGTTAAATTGCATTCGATAGCGGTCAAAATGAATATTTTCGTTGAAATATGCTGCCTGAAACTTTTCGCGATTACAATACTTCCTTTTTACTTCGTACAAGGAAGTAAAAAGGAACTTTTCTGAAATCAAAAGACGAGAAATTGCTTCCATGCAATCATTCTTTAACAGTAAAAGCTTAACTAACTGGCATACTCGGAAATAGCCAAATATCTGAAAAATCCGAATGGTCGAGCGTAACTGGTAAAAGAGGAAAAAGTGGTAGATTATAGACGTTCTTTAGAGTTTTCAGCTAAATAATGCTTTTTACATTTCGATATGTGAATCATATAAAAAATAGCCCAATGGAACTGAAAAATAATCTGCTTAGCAAGCACGGTAAAACTTTTTTATCTCTGTGAAATATCACAAATGGTATTGCGCAATACGTGCACCATAATTCTTCTGCACTGCCGGTATTTGGAGAATAAATAACTAAATAAAGGAAAATGCCCCTTTGTTTCGTATGGTTTTCACCATCATGTGCCCATGTGGCATATTTATCATTAAGCAGAACATGTCGCACTCTGCACAATATCCTTGCAATACTGATATTGATTAATAAAGATTTACCAATCTGGGGTGTTTTTCCTTCTAATTTTGAACAGACTGCGTTTTCATACATATTCCTGAACAGAATTTCAGGAATAGAATCATTCTTCTCTTGGGTTTGTAAACCGCAGAACTTTTAGTCTTATCCAATCCAGGATGGAAAGTGACCCCCCCCCCCCCCCCCCAAAAAAAAAAAAAGAAGAAGAAGAAGTCCGTGGCTTGCTTTGCTGTGAACTGTAACGGTTTCAATAGTTGAGATTTTGCGGAGAAAGGGGAAAACCCCCCAACTTCCGTACCGTATATGCATTGGGAGAAAAAAAAAATTATTTTGACTATTCGATTACTTTCACTTTATTTATGCCATTCTGAATATTATTAATTAGAAAACTAATTTGTGTTAAAACACATTTACCCATTTTTGAAGTCTATCTATACTTCAGCAGTTACTGCAAATATATTATTATAAATATTCGTACATATGCTCATAATATAAGCATACCGATCATACCAAACGCAAATATGAACGACCAGGCAGAACGAGAATGTAAATTACTAAAATCTTGATAGAAATTCGAGCAAAAGAATACGGAATGTACCGGAATTTTCTACTGCTTTCGCAAGTCTTTGACCAATAGAGCGACATGCACCTGTCTATACTCGCGCACCAAAGGTTATGTTAATGCAGAGAAAGGGCCGAAAAGCTATTTCTGGGAGTATGATTAACCACCTGATGTTCCAATATAAGGAAGAAAAGTTGTTTATTTAGTTTCGGCTTTGGTATGGGAAAAAAAACGTGCATTCGTTAAAAAAAAAAAAAAGGCACCAAAAGCAAAAAATAAGCACTAAAAACAAAAAAAGTAAGTGCTTTAGAGAAAAAGTAAGCACCTATAAGGGCTTTTATATTTTATTTTCAAATAAAAGAACTTATAAGCACTTGTAAGGACCACTACGAACCCTGTAAAATATTTAAATCCCCTGACTTGTTGGTCAATTTTCAAATTCTCCAACTTTTTCCGGTTTTTCAGGCAGTATGATAATCCTGTTAAAATAAATACGTAATTTTTTTAAATGCATCAACTGAATTAGTTTAAAAAAATTTCATCTTATCCAAACAGGTTCTGAATGAAAATAAGTTTATTAATCCTACTTTAGATAATGCACCTCATATAATACAGATAAATGAATTTTCAAGCTTTTCAGTTTGACTTATTTTCATCAAGGCGTGTGTCATCAAGGCATCCTAAATATATTTTGTCATCAAGGCGTCCTAAATATATTTTGTACAAAGAAACACTTACCTATTAGTGATAAATAAAATTCCACAGAATGAAGTACTGTAAATTAGATATAAGAAAAATAAAGCATTATAAAATTAGCATCAAACTCATTTCGGAAGGCATGTGTGCTTTGGGGGTGGAAGCAACTTCACATACAACACACACTAATGAATCGTTTAAGCAATTGCTCTTTCAGAATATATACACATTAATTAAGCCTTGTCCATACACAACATAGACAAAGTGTGCCAATACACCATTTAGATTTGCAATTCAATTTCAGACATGGGTGATATTTGGAAAAAAAAAAAACTTTTCGCTATCCATAGAGCTATATATATATATACTGACATTTATAAATTGGTGGCAAAATATTTTTATGGCATGCAAGATAAGATAACTGAAACAGTTATTAGATCAGAATACTACAAATATGCATAATACAGTTATCTCCAAATAAAAAAAAATACTAAAAATAATACAAATAAGTTCCCCCCACCCAAGGATGGGGGAGAGATACTCTGTAAAGTAATGGCATTTTCAATTACCTGCTTCTGTACCACCTTCTTGACAAAACTGCTGTAATTTTTTCTCAAGCTGCTGCTGCCGTCTCCTTCTCATCACAGCTTCAGGATTAGATATAGATCTAGTAAAACTGGTTTCTGGAAGTTCTGAATATAAATGTTGTGCTATCCCATCTTTCTTGCTCTCTTCAGCAGCCTAGTTAGGTAAAAAAATATTATATTTTGCAACATTCGAAACACACTTTAAGAGAAAAATTAATCATACATATAATGATCTCTCCTACTTTCAATCTCTCCTTTTTTTCTCGTTTTTTCTTTTCCTTTTTTTCTCGTTTAGAAAGCTTTCGTCTAAAGTTTTCAGTATCACAAGCATCCATACTAGATATCTATTTTTAAAAAGATAAAATGGAATTATCAGTTAGACTAGAAATACAATTTTTATGCAATTGAATAAAGTTACTTTTAGAAATCACAAATATTTAAGTAATTTCTATTATAAATATTAGAGAAAGATTTATGGATTCACTTTACTAATTTGCTAATGGCAACACAGTTGCTTAGCAAAACACACAAGAATTATCTGGATGAAGAAAGGAATACCCCCACGAAAACTTTTTATGGAGAATTAACTAGCATTTATATGGCATGGCAAAAATCACAGGAGGTGGGCTTATGTAACTGGCCTGTTCTACATTTGAGAAGGAAAAATTTTCCTCTGAAATTGTTTATATAACTTTAAACCCTAAGTTTCAACATCTGCTAAGACATCTAAAAAATAAAAGAATTTATGTCAATAACAATTGTATGGACTATTTTGTCTAAGTTAAGACTTGTAGAGACATTAGGATTTTTTTTTTTTGGGAAGCAGGAAAGATGAAAAATTAGCAACATCTTTGCCAGGAATCGAACAGCGGATCTCTGGAATACGTGACCAGCGTGCAGACCACCATACCACGAAGGCATGCAAAGAAGTTGGGAGAAATACCTTATATACTCCCCTTTTTAAAGGGGCGACTGGGGTTTTTAGGCGACTCAATCCCCAAATCCTGGATGTGGAGAATCATCATCCAACATCCTGTTAGTTCGGGCGCCACTGTAGAGACATTATGCTTTTTTTTTTTTTTTTGGAAGCAGGCAAGAGAGATCGAAAAATTAGCAGTTTTTTTGCCGGGAATTGACCTGCGGACCTCTGGAATACGTACCCAGCATGCAGACCACTACACCACAAAGGCATGCGAAGAAGGCGCAAGAAATACCTTACAGACTCTTACTGTGATTAAACAATAAGTGACATATTTTTTGTTCATTTAAGTAGTTTTCATAACCTACATCATTAGCCTTTCTGCAACTATATTTAATATTCCTTTTAATATCTTTTCAGTTCTACAGCATACAAGCTAAATATGAGCAAAGTGCTTTTATACAGTTACTTCATCAGTATTAAATATAAATAAATACAAGTAACATATTAATTTATCCCTAAACTTTGAATTTACATGAATGCTTAGTCTAGAACATTACAGGGTGAATGTTGGTTAAATTTTTAAAATTCAAAATTAACTACCATACCTGTTATATAGGTATACCAGAAATATGAAAATAATATGCCTGACATACAACTTATTTAATGGAAACTAATATAAAAAAGGCATGAAAAATACAGAAATCATTGTTGTCGCTTACGACATTATTTTTCTACATTCATAACTCACTTATGCATTATAAGATACTGCATTTTTTAAAGCTAAAATGGTTCACATAATGTTAAAATAAATGAATGATAAGAAATATAATTGGAATAACATCAGTAAATTTGCAGGACCATGGCTCCAAATATTAAATAAAGCCTTCAATTGTCAGAGTGAAAATGATCAAAAAAGAATACTCTTAGCCTGGACAAGTTGTGCTCTCCACCTCATGTTGATACTTTCATGCAAACCTGTCACTCGTGAAAACTGGCAGATATTTCAGCAAGTTGGCCAAACATTGTATTGTGTGATTTCTACAGAAGTTTATAGATCTGTATCTAGTAACCCTTACAGGGACATAGTACCTTTTCAACATTTTTAACATATTCATATTTATACTGAAAATTGTATTTTAACGGGGAATTAAAAAATATCAAACTATTTGTTCAAATAAAATGTTACTTTTTAACAATTTTTTTTTACTCGCACCCACAGAAAAAATGAGAAAACCTGAATAATTCTTAGCTAAAATATTTTTTTAAAAACTACTACAGTACAATGTCCTGACTGGTCGGGACTTCGGATTTGGGATTTTTTCGGATAATAGATCATCAATTTAAATCTGGTAAGATGACATGCAGAAATTATACAATAAAAAATATGAAATCGTAATTTATGAAATAAAGAACAATTATGATCTAAAGGGTATCAAAATTTACAAAAAAAAAAAAAAAAAAAAAAAAAAAAAAAAAAGCTTAATATTTATTTGTTTACTTAACATTTCTTTCAATGTAAGATGTTTAAGATTCTTCCACAAAAAATTCAAAAAGTTACTTTGTGTGTGTGTGTGTCATATACAGAGGTGCCATACTCCTCGCATAATTTTGAGACAGATATGCCTTTATCCATTTTTTGCAGCAATTCCACTTTTTGTTTAATGGACATCGAAACATGGTTTCGCTTTGTAGATCCTTTGGCAACTCCAGAATTTGAAACTCTTTTCGACATAATTGAAAGTTCAAGCTTAGTTTTTATAAAATTGCTGTAATAATAACAGTCTGCAAAAAATAATAAGCTGGATCAAATTAGAAGATCAGGGAGCAGTGCAGTCTGCTAAATTAGTTGAAATGCCTTAGAATCAGTAAAGATAATTTTTGCCTAGCTTAATAGCATCCGTTATACATTATTGGCTGTGTATCACAAGATTGGCGATGAAAGCCAAGTTGTTTCACTAAATTTTGTCTTGCTCCTATTATGTACTGAATTAAGCCTGAATTGTATTAGTTATTTACTATACCTATGTCTATTTTTTGCACATGCTTCAAACTAATCTGAGCCCTAAATAAATAAACTCTGACATATACTTAAGGCTTTAGCTAGGGCTGGTGATCGATACCGCCTGGTGCAGTCTCTAGGGGTCCTAAATTCTGCTACAAAGCACTTTCCTAAGTTCTAAATTTTCACTGCGCCTAAACTTTGGATCCCAGTGCTTTCCCTAAATCATAAAAACTTCTCATCCCTTAATTTTGCCGCTTGGTGCTTCCCCAAATTCCAAAAATTGCGTCTTCCCTAAATTCTGCTGTTCGGTACTGACATATTCTGCTGCCGCTTCTGGGTTTATGGTGAATAACATATCAGTTAATCTTAATTAAAATAGCACTAAATGCAATTTTTTGGCCTATGAGTTTCATTAACAAAATCTATTTTTAGCATATGAAAAGAAATTTTTGTTGAATTTTTTCTTGTCACCATTTCTTAGAGCATTTAATCTATAACAATCGCCAAGCGTAATGTTAGCATAAAAGGTTGCCATACTCTTGTTATTCAATTACTAATATAAAAAAGTTTAGACATCACAGCATGAGTTATTACTGAAGCTGTCATGTATTGATAAACAAGTAGTGATGAAAGCAAAATATAATAAATAATGACTCGCTAGGTCAGCGTCAGGGATATAAAATAGGTGAATGTTTCGGTTTGAGATGTATGCCAAGTAGATACTTGGCTATGGAGCAAAATTATTAATCTCACAAATTTATGCTTACATGATTGTTTTTCCATAATGAGGTATTTTATTTAGTGCCTAAGTGAAATTAAGAATCGGAATTTTTAAGTGAAAATCTCCACATGATTTACTATGGAGGGAAAAATCAAATGCGCATGCGTAAAGCATTAATAATAAAAAAAATGCTTATGGCTTTGAGGTCTGGATTTTAGATCATTCTGGATAATGGACATCCGGATTTCGGACTTTGTACTATACTAGAGATAACTGCAAGCATAGTTTCATCAAAAATATAATAATAAGCATATGAAAAAAATCTGAAATCTCTATCCTAATTTAACAAACTCTGCATTTTAAAAAAGTGCAACACAACCAAAATAATAATAATAATAATAATAATAATAATCATGAAGAAAAAATTATTTTATTCAATTTTTTTTTCAATCTCAAAATTCATTAGTTTCACAGCAAATCTGCCTAAATTTCATGCAGTGTTATAAAAAAGATATCAAATTATAGATAAAATACTTTAAACATTCAACTCCAAAACAAAAAAATCCTGTAGTGTTTTAAAATGTTGAATTATCAGAGGTGCATGTTTAGAAAAACCTGGATTTCAATCTTCATTTGTGGAAAACATCATTAATAAAACATAAGCATTTGCATTACATTTTATCAAAAAATTATAAACAGAATTAGAAAAAAGAATTTATTTAACTGGAAGCTTAAATAAAATTTTTAATTAAACAAAAATGTGCTATTACATTTTTAAATAATGATACTTTTCTTTAAGTTCTTTTTTTAAAGCATTCCTTGAGAACTGTGCATGGAATAATGTGATGCTTTTTTTTAAGACTTTTTGCTATTGTGCTAGTGGAAAAAAATCTAGCTATTTCTTACTCTAAATATTTATATAAAAATAATCAAAAATTTTAATGCTAGTTCCATGTACAGTTTTATCATAAACATAATCATAAAACATGCAAAATTATGAATCCACTACCTTAATTAAAAAATAAAAAAAAATCAAGCAACAATTTCAACTAAAAAAAAAATGTTTAGAAAAAATCATTTAATTTTCAAATGTAAAAATACCAGTCTAACAACAAAACTATTGATATTTTACTTCTCTTCAGTTGTCATTCACTTCATTTAGAAATTTCCACAGGTTTAAAAAAAAAAAAAAAAAAAAAAAAAAAAAAAGATATTCCATTAGGTTATGATGCTAGCAAATAGCAGTCAATCACCATAAAAATATAAGAACTTCTGAACTACAGAAGGTAAAGTTCTGAGATTGCCCCTAAATATTTAGAAAAGTAACTAATATTTAAAAATTAAAGCTAAAAAAAAAATAATAATTTTAACCCTTTAACTGTCGAGTTATTTTGATGATTTGGGTACACAAATTGTCAAATTTTTTTATTGGAAAAATAAAATGTTTAGTACAAAATAAAATATACTTAAGTAGTTAAAAATTTATATTTTGAAGTAAATGGGTAAAATTTTTAAAGTTTTGTAGCCACTGCGTATTTGCTTGAGGCGGCTGCCACTCAACATGGCAGTTGTAAAGTTCGCTTCTAGTGGAGCATTATTTTCTAAAAATGAAAGAAAATTAATTATTTTCTAAAAAATAAATAAATAAAAGTGAATATGTATTAGTACCAGTAATTCAGTCTTGTGTGGTACAACTGGAAACACTTTTCCAAGCACAAACCAACTCCACAATCACTACACCAGAACCGTGTTTCCTTACTTATCTTTTTCCCATTTTTATCCTTTTTCGAACAACACCCTTTGCACTGTCTTGTAGGCTCACATTTCACAGGAGTAGGAGGAATATAGGAAATAAAATATCTTTCAGTAAGACGGGCAGGGTTATCTATTGTAGGTGGTCTGCCAAACATTCTTTTGTCCAGAAGCTGCATCATCATATTTACGTAAAAGCTCTTCTACAACTTGGATTTGAAATTCTAAAAATGTAGTACGTTTCCCAACTACATTTTTATAGAGTAAATATGAATTCCAAAGTACCTTATCTAGTAAATGTAAAAATATCTTTTTATAATATTTTTCTGACGTTTTCGGATTGTTGGATGAAAGGATATTTCCTAATCACAGCGATCTACACCACCCATATTTAGACTGTAGTCAGAAACAATCTTTGGCTTGAGTATATCTTTTTTTTTTTTTTTTTTTTTTTTTTGAGGTTGACCATGGAAATATCATGAATACTGCTCATCAGACACACATCTTTCATCTTCGGTTGAAGAATCTATATAACGTTTCAAAGAACTGGACGCCATTTTACAACAAAAAGATCCCGTGCACTTTGAACCAAAGAACTTATAACCTCTAACCTTTGAAATCTGTTGTGCTGTCATCTATTGAATTGAGCGCACATTAACTTTTTCCGAGATACAGTCAGGTTTGACAAAGAGATGAAGCCGAAATAAATGTCTCCCGATATATATTTGGGTATAACAATACGAAGCACTCAAAAAAAAAAAAAAAAAAAAAAAAAAAAAAAAAAAAAAAAAAATTACCCCGAGTAATACTCGTGCGTGACATTTTCGAACACCAGTGCTGTGCCCGAGATTAACTCGGGCATGACAGTTGAAAGGTTAAGGTGCTTCTTGGGGAAGGCAATGTATGCCTCCATAAGCATGCAATAAAGTAAGTTTTTCTTAAATATTACACAGCAGTTTAAGCAGCATTTACATCTGCTTTTTTTTTTTTTTTTTTTTTTTCACCTACTGGTAAATGATTAAAATTTGAGATCTGACTTTGGTGGAACAACATGCAATGGGATATTTCCAAACTTATGGAATCATGCCACCTCCCCCAAAGAAAAGCATTAATGCTCATGACATGCCATACTACTTGGGCACTGACAGACAACGGCAATGATTGCCACAAACTTTGCTAAGATGTGCACATATTTGCATGAAAGATGAAACCAATATGGGAACATAAAACTGATTTATTGTAGATCTGCAATACTGGATTCAGTATCACACAAATTAACATTAGGTATTAATGAATTACTAAAGTTATATTTGATATAAAACTTTTATAAAAAAATTTAAAAGCAGCTTACATAAGACTTTTCATCCATGCGCCGCAGTAGAAAACGCCCTTCCCTATCATCTTTGTGCCAGTCAAGTTGCACTAGTAAAGGCCTTTCATCTGCTCGAAGTTTCCTTTCTTCTGTTTTATGCAAAATTAAAACAGATTATATAAATAAATATTTATAGAATGATCTAAAATAAAATTTTGAAATGAAATATAAGCACTCCTACCCCCATTTTCATGAATTTCATACAAGGCATATTCAGGAATTGAAAGCATGCGTATATCAGGACGGAATTTTTCAATCAATGTCTGGATAACATCAGTTGTGGTGGCTGTGCTAGCAACTCTTATACATTTTGTTGCAACTTTCTGACCTGCATCTTGAAAATAAAATCTCATGGCACCATGGAACTCTAAATCCTAAACGGGGAAAAGAAAAGAAAAATATGGTATTATAATGAATAAGAGTACTTAATAAGCATATATTTAGTTTTATTATTTCCTTTATTATTAAGATACATAAACAATGACAATAATGAATGAAGTTCAGTCAATCAGTTCAATAAATGAGTCAAACATTCATTTAATGCAAGCATGTCTTAGATCCAACGATTGCTTAAATGCTTCTGAAGTTTGCGGGATTACCATCATATTTAGAATTGAAAGATTAAGAGTTTGTTTCTGTTTCTACTAAAAATATCTTAAATCTTACTTATCTAATATAAAAATATTTTTATCTTACTAAAAATCTCTTAGACAAAATGGTTACCAGCTGTTACTGCTTGATTATAATCAGAAGCGTAGCTAGGGTTTACAGTGTCCAGGGACAGCTGAAGATTCCATCCCCTTTACAAAATGCAATGGGAGAACATTTTATGGATGTTGCACCCAGGGACAGATGCACCCCTAGCTACACCACTGAATAATTAATCATAAAGTTACTACTGGAGTCATTGAATTTGAATATCATTCACAAGCCTAAACTCACTCTAGGAAAACTACCACCAACTTCTACAACATTTAATCCTCAAGTAGAGACAAAAATTTTTAAAACAATGAAACATCAAGCTCAAACTCTGCCAGACACATACAAGAACATTTTTTTTTTTCAGGGGGGGGGGAGGAATTAAATTAGCTTCAAAGTAAAAATTTTAAATTCCTTATATTTCACTCTTAATATTTATATATAGAGAAATTATAGACAATTCAGATATGATTTTAATAAAAATATATGCATAGAATCTTCTCATTTTTGTTAGATGTACCATCTAAGAAAATATGAAAGGTAAAAAAATTCAACTTTAAAAGTAGGATTAAATGATGTAAGATATACTCATATTTTATCCAAAATTTCTCAATGGAACTATTTTGTTATATATACCTTCACTTAAAAAAAGTTTAGATAACAGTTTTTTTAATCAGAATAAATAATAAAAAATTGTGTATTATATGGTGATTTCTTATTCAATTTCAGAATGAAAGACCTTTTTGTTACTAATCTAGTTTGAATAACGTTCTTTTAATATTTTAAGGATATGTTGTATAAATTCTAGTACAAAAAACCGCAAAAACATGCATAGGGAAAAAAAAAAAAAAAAGACTGAATAAATTGCGAAAATTAAAACCGAAATTATTCTTTCACATTTTGCAGGAGTATTCAGAAATTATCCACAAACTGATGCGACATCATAAAATAACGCCGAGGTTAAAAATATAATCAAGTCACATCTCAACACGGCACACGGGAGGAAGAGCAGGGGGAATTTCTAAAACAATGGGAAAGACGATGATAGCTGCTGTTCAAGGGAACGTTATGGTTACAGGTCCTCTGGGTCGCATATTATGTCCTTATCGCTGGTTGCAAAGAGGAAATGGAGATAAAAACAAACAAAAAGTAATGATTCACAGACCAGTCGGGTATTGAACGAACGACATATTAGGGGCCATTTCTACATTAAATACAGTAAAAAGTAGATATTTAGAGTTTTTCGACTTACTCAGCCAGAACTTTCAGGTTGACTTATTTTATACGACAAGCTATCGAAATGAAATCTATTAAAAATAAAAATAACCGAATTTCGGAAAGCAATGACACCATGTATGGTTTTCGAACTTGAAACGACAAACCTGAGTTACAGAATAAAAGATTTATTTCCTGCGTCATTTTCAGAGCCCACAGCCTTAGAAATGAACATTTCAAAAAATGCCTTCAAATTACATAGTTCTAATAGCAAAAGCTTTAAAATTATTTCTTTCTTGTCCACCCCATTTAGCGGAAATAGTGAAACATAACTGAATGGGAAAAGCCAAAAATCATTCGTTCATTTTACAGTAATTTTTAAATAAAATATTTGTTCGCCCTCTTCAAGTTGTTTACCATTAAAAAATAAATATATGACTTTTAACGCAAACAAGTATTGTAATATATGTTATGTGTTAGATAACAATAACAGTGGAAAGCGTGACTTTTAAATACCTACGATGGATTATGGCTCTTTAAATGGCGGCGTCTCGAATGCGGTCAAGAGGGGGATCTTGACGTTAATTGCGAAGGGGAAAATAAGCAAGTGCGTTAGGGATCATAAGGGGATATACATTGTAAAGAAAAGTGTTTTTAGGTCTCATTCAACAATATCAGGAATAAAAACTTGAATGGAGCTACAGAGTTCTCTATTCTTCACTTAAGTCAGTAACGTATACAAGGATATAACATCGTACTAGAATGGAGAAAAATTATATAGAATGCGAAAAGTTTTGATTTACTTTAAATCGGCGCTATAAGATTTCTCTGAAAGTGAATAGATTACCAGAAAGAAAGCTCCACAGATTTTAAGTGGGGGAGGGATCTGAAAGATTTCAGATTTTAAATTACGTCCAAAAGGTCTTTTTTTAACGTTTTGTGTGTTACCTTTATTTATTAAATATCGTGTTCCTAAATCCATGCCCATGCTTATCACTTAAACCATAAAATATTCAATTTAACGGCAATATTGCAAATGAATTTTAAAATGAGCATATCCTTAGAATTTTCAATGCACAGTTTCGCTTGCCGGAGATAAAAATGTTTTATTTTCCGTACAGATGTTGCTATTGCTTCGCTTTGAAATCGTTAAGTTTGTTAATCAAAAATTCGTTAAAGTGTTACGAAACATGAAATCGAATAATAAACAAATTACGAAATTAAGACTAGACTAGATGCCTATATTCGGTAGGAAGATTACCTTATTTAATAATTTAATGGCTCTAGGTACCATTGTTTTATCACAATGCGAGAAACATACATACATTTATGCAGATTCTTCATTATTTAATTTCTTCAAATATAATACAAGGCGATATTATTTGGTGGCAACGATTTGAAAAGTGATACAGCCTTTTAAAGGTAACGCAAAACGCAAACCGAAAACAATAGTTCTTCAGGGACAAAGCCCCTTTGGACTAAAAAGTAAATTTAAAATGGAAATTTATTTTATTCTTAATAAGTTTGAAAAATAATATTGTTGAAAATAATGCGAACAAGTATCAGCCATTTGTATACTTTACGAAAATAAGCCTGACCACGGGTATTCCAGAAAAAATATATTACGAAATAATTCATTCGAATAAGCAGCAAGGTTTCATTATATTTTGCTGGACTTAATGACAATTTCAGAATTATTTTTAATAGCAATTTCCGAAAAAACTAAACATTTTCTGCTTACTATATTTATAATTACCTATCTCGTTGTAGTCTTAAAAGATAAATATTTATTGCCACAGTGAATTTCACGCAACTTAAGCGGGAACAAAAATTTTAAATATATTATTCCCTAAAAGTAGAATACTCCTGACAATAAAATATATATATATATACCTTAATTTTAAATAATCGCATTAATAACCCACTTTTCTTGGTCAGTAAATGATTTGGTTCATCGTTTACACATCTAAGATTTCCTTCAGCCGTTCATACTAACAGTTCAATTTTCGCACGTTACGCCGACGACATTGCGCTGGCAGTGAAATCTGAGAACGTTAATCATGTCATCAAAAAACTCCAAGATCACATCCCTCTTATAGACGACTGGTGTAAAAACTGAAAAGTACAGATCAATGCCTCTAAATCGCAGCTCCGTATCATCGGTGGAAGAAAAAGAAAGTCAAACTAAAGAAACAATTACTTCTCTTCAAATAACCTATCTCTCTAGCGGCTCAAGCCAAGTATGTGGGAGTAATCCTGAACAGCAAATTGATATAGACTAATCACATAAATAATGTGAAGAATAAGGCAATCTACGAGATGAAGTGCCTCTACCCTATGTTAGGACGATTTTCCAAGCTCGACTTGTCAAAAAAAGAGACTGATTTACCTTTCAATTCTGAGGCCTATAATGACGTATGGCCCCAGCCTAGGCCAGTGTCAAGGACTGATTTACACAAACTACAAGTGGTGCAAAATCGTTTCCTTACACAGATAACTAAAGTTTACTTCATGCGAAATGAAATACTCCAGAAGGACTTCACAATCGAACAGCTGCATGATTTCCTCCGTAAAACGAATGACATATTCTTCAGGAAAGCTAAAGACTGTGAACATCTTTATATATTTAACTTATTTCACTATGAAACATAGGATGAGGACTGATACCTCCGCCTCTTTGTTGCCTTCATTTTGAATAGCAATCAAAACTTTTCAACATAATTGCTATTTACTCAATTATTATAGTCTGATAGTACGAACTCTCAAGTACAAAATGAAGCAGCATCCTACAGCGCCTGCACCTGAGAGGGTGGCCTCCCACATGGCTGTGCTTCACGATTTATTGCTATTATTCCAGCAAATTCTAGCTTTCCTGAAACTTTGTATATATGTAAACACTGAATATTTAACCAAGAAGGTTGCTTTCTATGTAGTTATTTTATTTTGCATTTTATCTTCTATTTTTTTCTGTATTTTGTATTTATGCCATATTTTCAGGCCAACTACTTAGCAACAATCAGATGTCATCTCGATGATCACGTGACTTGGTCGGACCCCTTTTCCACTTTAGCTATCCTGTACCGTCCAGCACGACCATTTCTTCACCCCCAGCGCTCATAGCAGCAGTTATTTCATGACTACCGGAATACAGCCTGCAAATTTCCATACTAATCGCGGCATAAAGAGGAACTTTGAGAGCGATCAGTCTGCAGAAAGTTCCACTATTAAAATGTGAAAAGACGTCAGGGTATCGAAGAACGTGGATGAAATCATGTATTCCATAGCACAACGTGTTTTTCTAGTACTGGAATTTCACAGGTTAAATTACAGTCCTACGGCAACAAGGCGCAGTTTTCAATCCAGATTTAACATTGCAAAAGGTCCTGATTCGAAAATTATTCGTGTGCTTTTCGATAAATTTCAACGAAGCGTAGCTGATGAGTTTGTGGGAAATGTTGGT